AGCGGTTGGCTCCAGCCGGGCTATTTTCTGCTTGATTAGATTTTGTTTTGTGTTCCTAATTTCTCCAAGCCCCTGCGGATTATTTCTCTGCCTTTTGTTATAACTCCCAAATTCCCATTATTTGCACATTTAATTACTGTGCTGATTACCCCCTGCTTCTGGCAGAGCCTGCCTTGCTCTGAACAGAGCCCGGGTATCAGTCTTGCTGGTGCCGGTATTGTTCTCGTCTGTAGGAAGGATTCAGGCGCCGGGGCGAAGGGCTGAGCAGCGTGATCTATGAGAGTCGGACTTCCACCTTCATGGATCCTAGATATAAATTGGGTCTAACCTGCATTCAGAAAGAGAAGAAGCTGAAGCTGAAGCTGATGACGAAGAGAAACAGAGGAAGAGGAGGAGGAAGGGGAAGAGGAAGAAGAAGAGGGAGAGGGAGAGGGAGAGGGAGAGGGAGAGGGAGAGAAAAGGAATTTGGGGGTGTTTAGCATGAGTTCACATAAAACCAGGGAGGTTTTCTTGAGCCAAACCCAGCGCACATCAAGTGTGGGTCCAGCGTGACCCACAGCCCCGACGCATCTCTGCGGCGTTGCAGGACAGGGCGCGGGCTGGGGGCTCAGCTGTGGGCAGGGCTGTGCTGGGGAGAGGGAGAGGGAGAGGGAGAGAAAAGGAATTTGGGGGTGTTTAGCATGAGTTCACATAAAACCAGGGAGGTTTTCTTGAGCCAAACCCAGCGCACATCAAGTGTGGGTCCAGCGTGACCCACAGCCCCGACGCATCTCTGCGGCGTTGCAGGACAGGGCGCGGGCTGGGGGCTCAGCTGTGGGCAGGGCTGTGCTGGGCTGCAGCCTGTCACCGTGGCGTGTCCCTTCCCACGTCCCTCAGCACGTCTGTCATGTGGACAGAAGGTCTGAGCATCAGCGGGAGAGAGGGAATGGGAGACGCGGGCAGCACGCCGCGCATGCCAGCCCAGCTCTCGGTCTTCTTTGAAGCACAGCAGCATTGAATTTGGGCTGCAGATATCAAAGCGGGGGCAATCCCTGCCCAGGCCCCTCGGGCGGGAGTGCTCGTGGCCACGTGGGTGAGGATCAAGTGCCAGGTGATGGGTGGGTGCGGAGCGGCATCGTGAGCACTGGCCAGGAAAACGCAGTCTGGGCAGAGAGAAATGCAGGTGTCGAGGCACGTGG